AATATTCTTTCCGATTGAACCAGATTATCACTCTCTGATAGAAATTCAGGAAACTGATTAATAAAGAAGTCAAATTAAATCCAAAAGGACAACCTTTACACGGTACAAAGTTTGTACTGCGAGGCTTAAATCACTGCAGGGATCTTACAGTGACGCTTGCTGGCTTACTGATGTCCAGCACTCTGGTGTTATCAGTCACCTAGCCAACTTATGGGCATGGATGGATAAGAAAAGGTCCACACAGAAATCGCCGCAGCAACTGCCGCACGCGACGATTCTCGCCGCGTGAGCGGCGTGACCTCATTAGCCGACGATTGTATAGTCCGTCGCCCCTCTCCTCACAGCAGAGTGTGTGAGGGATCGGTTCGAGGAATCCTCGACCATTATTCACCCTGGCACGGAACATACTGTAGCCGAGCATGGGCAGTAGGAAATGGAGGCGCACGAGAGAGCGTAAGCCGATCAGGCAAAATCCGACGCTGGACCGAATGCAGCGTGTGGAGATCTCGACGTGGAGATATACCCTGTTTCCTGTTCAATTTTAGGGATCATGAAGACAGAGCGAACGCAGTTTTGTGAGGCTAATGTTATTTTTGTTATCATAACATCTACCGATATCGTACACTTTTCACATTCATCTGTATCACCTGTCGTCCCGTTGATCGTCGATTTGCTCGAGCGGGCGCCAGCAACGTCTCCATTCGTCCCTGTCGCGTGCTAGGTGGTCCAGTGGATCCTCCTTGCTCGAGGGACACGAAGCCGTTCATTCCTTTCGTTCAGAGCTTTCGTGAAGAAGTCTGACCATCGGGCCGGCGACTTCTGACTTGCAGCACCAACTAAGCCCATTCTCGTTCACTTTAATTCAGCATTCTTCGCTGAAGCATTTCCATTCTTTATAAGGGAGCATCTCGAAGACACAGCCGCCAAAACGCAGCAGCGATTTGGCTACGCGCGCGCAGATGGGTTCATGGATGGAAAACACATACAACTCATGGTAGGGAATGTAGTTATTACACCAGTAGCCGACTTAGCACCGACGGAAGTACATATTGCAGAAGCGGGCCCACTCTGGCAGTATATATTTCAACTGTAAAAGGACCACTCTATCATAATTCTGGTCTCAGTGGATTGCGATTACCGCATCCTTGCGTTCACCCTGGGGGCACCAATCAGAGTTTTTATGAACTCAGGTATTAAGGTTGGTACAAGAGTGACGGTAGATGACCGTTTCTTGTCATTCTACTTTTGCATGTCTTCGACTTAAGCGACGACATTTTCTCCCCTGCTGGCGAGCTGGGAAGTGACAGGCCCGTCCACTACCACATTCCGGTAGACTGTGGGTTTGCACAAGGGTACCACTATATTAGACCCTAATCGCAAGCATCTGCGGATACGGCAGTAAGCATCGGTTCAAACCAGAAGCATAGCAGGTGAGAATCGCTCTCTTGTACTCACGGAAATACGTAGGATTGTTTCAATTTAGTGCTCGACACACGGTGGAGTAATTTTTCAGCATTTATTTTATGCTAACACTACCCCCTTTCCTAATTTCAATACAATGGATCCGGAGAACGCCATTGATGGGAAGACGTCATTCCTGGTGAGCCTGCAGCGTTTTGAACTGCCAGTGCTGTGAATTTTCAGAGTTCGCAACATCAGGTGTTGCACAACGTGCTGGGAGAGAGATACGATTTACTGGAAGAGGTTGGGTGCTTCCCCGCTTCCCACCTCCTACCCATCAACTAGACCCACTGCAAGAGCCTGACATTAGGAAAGATGCTGAAGTTGCGATGACGGCGAGAGAGCGCATCCGGACCTACTTCGGCAACATATTGGCAATACATGGCCATCTTCATTGAGTCGCTCCTTGCAGTACAGCAGCCGGTGAGTTATAGCTACGTAATACTGAACAATTTCATTGGATTCAAAAAACTACAGTACAGCAAAACCTTTCAACCAATACCGTCTATGTCTGTGCCGATAGTGGACATTTTTTAGGAGCATGATTCTGATTGTGTGAGACCCTTGCCAAGTAGCCAGGCGACGATCTCCTTGCACTAACATTTTATATTTCGACTATCTGGCTATTGGTGAGGTCACTTTAGCAGTGGAACTACCGATTTCAGAGTGAATGCTAGTCAAGGCGTGTAGCAACCCACTGACGGTTTGACAATCTCGGTAGACTGTAGCAACAAAGCAAGCTCACCGACTTTCGAGCAGCATGGACCAGCGTCCAGCAGAACTCCAGCAGGACTGAAAACTGTGCATGATGCTCTTAACCGCTTACATGTGGAATAGAAGATCAGTATGAATCTGGAAAGGCACCAATATGGTGAACTCTTAAACTCCTAAACTCATTCCTCTTGATTACAGAGTATGGGCAGAGCTCACATGGACTTTGCAAGAACTTGAAGAAGTCGAGGATTTTCTTGTGTCCAACGTCACACGATGGACGACCGCAGAATCTGCTGATGTAGCTTCCATGAAAGGCTGTCATGGCGATCCATATTTATTTGAAATGTGAAATCTCAAGTATAAACATCCGGTAAGAGTTAAGCGAATTGCTATCAATTGTTGGAAGTAAGAAAAAATAATTTTTGCCTTCTCCTCCATCCTCAGCCAAACCATTCTTTAGCATATTTGTCTACATATGGCGAATCATTTGAAAAGAGTAGCTGAAACGTTTTTGATCATTTACTAGAAATCAGCCTCATTTATCGCCTATGCAACATTTAGCCAACCAGCTTTTTCAAGAAACGGATGGGAGGATTTTACTGGTTTGTACTGCAGAAGGATGATTCCTGTCGTGATTCATGTAGCCTTATCAGTTTGGCTGAAGTTGCTCATAGGCATGAGAAGACGATCTGATCAAATATTGCTTGCATTGAACATCCGCTTTTATTACCCACTGCTCCGCCCAACGTCATTCGGCCGTTTTGGTAACACAAACATCGAAATCGGTTTTTTCGTTGAAATTGCACCGCCTCAATCATACGGAACGTTTTTCCATATCTATGTGTGCTGAGTAGGGCCATATTCTCTGTGAATTGACGGAAATTCTCAGGCTAGATACCCTGGGTTGAGGGCTTCCATACTAAGAAAGTAGCTGTGAAGTAGTATTTTTAGCAGTTTTTTGGTATTGTGGGGTGGTGGCATTTTTGGTGAACGGGTTTTTCTTTTCGTTTATCATTGCAGCATGTAAAGCTGTGAGCCCAAACGTCTTCTAAATACTTTACCCTTTGCGGATATCTCTAATCTCTTTTAATCATCTAGTCACTTCCCCGTGCTACTCTTTAAGCCAATGTGTCTGCCTTATCCTTTCAAGCATTTAATCACTTCAACACTCCTAGTGTTGAATCGTAATAAATCTGTGTCACAACATGCTCTTCTTTGTCCACTTAGAACACTGCACTCGTTTATCTCTCAGGCGCTTCTCTGTTTATGAGGTATAGCACGCCCGGAATAGGCTAAAATCTTCACAGAGGCCCATTAATTTGGAATATTTTTGCGCTTTTTTCATTCAGTAGTGGACACGAGTTCGGTTGTGTATGAGGCATTTACAAATATTAGGTTGGCAAGAAAGTTCTGCGACACTCTTTCTAAAATTTTCTTTCTTTTTGAAAAATCATAGGTAACATTTATGACTAACAAATGGTAGAGCATTCTCGTGGCTTTAATCCACGAGGTGGATATAAGTGCTGCAGTCAGTAGTTATCCAAGAAAATTCAAAAAATCTCGACCACTGGTAAACCGTACTCCGAGTCACTGTCTAGTACAAATGTTTACAAAACCATGGATTTGGTGTAACGCGGAATATCTTGCAATAGCTTCAATAGGCATATCGCGTATTGCACCTGACTACGGCGTGTTTTCAAGCTCTTTTCAGCCGCTTTCGATCTTTTGATTTCTGTTAAGAGCTAGTAGCCGTACACTACACCACTCCATTACAGGAAGGGCTACTTACGGAAGCTCCACTACAATTCTTCGTTATGGGCACCATTGTGTAGGAAGAGGTCTAGGCTGCGGAACTCCAGAAGCTGGCCGAGGCAGCTCGTCAAGAGCCCTCGTACCGCGACAATATTTATTTCTTTCATGACATTGCGAATCACCATGATCCGAAATGAGCCCGCTAAGAAATTCTGGAGCTGCGGCAAGATTTCTTACCTCTCTTAGCGTATTCCCCTGGTCGAGCTATGAATGACTGCCACCCATCCTGGACTTAAATCATTCATCTTGATGACGAAATAATTAGACGATCAACTCCAACTCGAAAGTGAGGTCGCCTCCTTTCTCGACCCACACTCCGCTGGGTTTTGGCAAAGGAGCATCAAGAAATTTTTTGAGCGTTGAAGACAAGCGGAGGACACTTATGGTAGATACAAGACCGGGTCAGGAGTTGTAAACAAAAAAGATAAAATTAAAAACAAAAATTTGAAAGAGTGTCGCAGAACTTTCTTGCCAACCTAAATAGCAACACTAAGTCTCCAGTGTGTTGATGGTTGAATCAGGGATATCGCCTTTCCCGGCAAAACCTTTCCGTTGTCCGCTTCCCGAGGTATAAGGCCTTAGCTGCGTAACTAACTCTGTCTAGATTTGATTTGATTGATCTTAAAGACTTCCAAATTCCAACGCAGAGCTCTGAGAAGCGCCCCCAGGTTCACCCGGTACTGTTTGCATATCAATTGACTGTACATTTTCAATGTACAATCAGAGTCGAATGCACAGGGGTTCCTTTGTCTGAATATTTCATTTTTCCCACTTATGTCACCCACTGTCCCGATCTACGACTCCCTAGATCCTGTGTACGACCCTCGTCTTCCCACGAAACAAATCTCCCTATTGACGATCAAAGGACATGGCTGAGCTCGTGTGCAGCAAAGTGAACAAAATTAGTGCATTTTACACGCTCCCATTGAGAATGTGAAAAAGAGCAGTTTCTCCAAAACAACGATTAAATTTTTACAGATCTGGGTCAAATTCTAGCTGCTGTGCAAGGAAGAATGCTAGTGGTTTTATTAGTGGCATTGTCGATGCGATGTACTTCACTGGCAGGTATCTTTGCATTATCTTAGGATTTGTGTCACTGCAATCACTAAAAGGACGGAAAGATGATTAGGTAGTGATCGATCCAGATTTGCGATGCACCGCGCACACGACTCCACTCACAGTCACAGCGGCATTTGAGTGCGTATTCCAACTATGACCATGAAAAAATGATGTAATACCCAATATGGTTGTGTGCTTGAACGGATCTATCATCTCATATAAGAACAGAAGGAATGGCCCGGTTGCTGACCTAAACTGGACATGATCTTAACACATTGACGACAACGCGGGGATATGTATCCCGCGCATTGCAGGCCATGTCGGACCGTGCGAGATATACAGGGGGGGGGGCAATAAAAAAAGACATTTTGCCTCCACTTCCAGATGGATTTAAGCACATTTTGCTCAATTCAGACCGAACGGTTCCAACTTATTATTAAAGAGTGCATTCCATTCTATAAGAAAATCTTCATAGTGGCCACGTACGTGGACGGCATCAGAAGAATTTGCCCTGGAAACATGGTGCACTGGTCGATCTCAATGGGGTCTTCGAAGGATCGTGTACCATAACGACCCTTACTGGAAAGCTAGTTCCGAGGGGATTTGCACAGTGGTAGCTAATGCCTCTAGAAAACTATCCAACATTAAATCGATTCACGAAATTGCGTAAGAGCTTCAGGCTGAAGCTCTTACGGTAGACCTCCTTGAGCCTGACGACGGTGACAGATGACGTCATATTCTGAAGACGGTGAGGGCAGTGAAGGAGGGCCTGCGTTCACTTATAGAGGGACACTTAGGGAATACTCTGCTGAGGAACTCCCGTCAACGACAGCAATCTCTGCGAAGAAAAAAGAGCCGAAGTCCGACATAGGCAAAATGTCTTTTTTTTTTGGCCCCCCCTGTATTATCCCCGCGCACCCACTCATTTTTTTCGCGCACGCCTGATTCTTTTAGAAGTTTCTTGTATTCATTCCATGGAAGAGACCTTGACGTAGCTACAAACATAGTGGTCCCTTAGAATGGTCACGTATACTTTAATTTAGAGGAGGATTTCTGAACCATACGAAATCTTCAGTTCAATAAATTTTTCGTTTACTTTTTCTTTTTATGAATGTGAAGATTTAAATAGTAGTAGAAGTAGATACGGAACCTTATAGGGATGAAAATATGTGTTTTGATTGAAATAATCAACTAAAATTGCTTTTGAGGTCCATTGCAGCTAGTTCTGAAAAATTTCCTTTTTCATTGTTATTCCACGTCTTTCGATCGAAATTCCACTACTGTACCCCGAGTAGGTTGTGCTCATTACAATTTACTGATCTGGTTTTGTATTGATCATTATTTATGTATTTATCACTCAAAATTGCTTGAACAACAGTTTGAGGCAAAAATTTTATTTCAAAAAGCTTCAAAAATCTGAATATCAAAAGCTTTTCAGAATAACTTGCAATATTTCGGTGCTTAGCACCTTCGTCAGGCCTGAAATAATACTTCTTTCTAGAGTCGGACAATATACGAAATATATAAGACCAACTCACACTGCGTTTCCTATGTTCAAATACAACTACCCGACGACAATTAAAGATAGTGTAATTTTATCATTGTCGAAATCTGCTGTGCCGGCCTGAGAGGCCGCCGCGCGCGCCAAAATCGCCTCAGCGCACGTTGGACAAAAAAAGCCAAAACTTCGTCATTCCTGTCAGTGTGTTTTAGAACTTGGGTCTTAGTTTCGCGAAATGTTGGGGCTGCTTATTGGCAGTTCTTTAAAACGCGATAGACTAAGGAGGTTGCGCATTGACACTTTGACGACAATGCGAGTTTTGGTGTTTTTCGTCATAGGGGACCGACACGATTTTACGACCGAATTTTTCGCAGTATACATATACCCGCACGATCAAATAATAAGGCCCATTTTGGAAGCTCGAAAGTATGAACAAGTTCAGAGAGTAGTGACTAAGTAGAGTCAGGTTACAGAAGCGCAAACTAAGTGGCTCCTCCATACAGAAGTTTCTACTTTGAGGATATTCAGGGACACAAATTGGTTGGAATCGAATACTTCATTGAATAGTATTGGTACATGTTTCTTCTACTATAATAGTTGGAACTCCTTACAACTTGGTAAATTTATCGTTCACAACGTATTGGCCAAATACTCACTTCATTCACAATTTAGCTTCTTTCTTAAGAGTTGGTGTGAGTCTGAGCTGAAGTTCAAATGAGTTTTTGGGAAACTTTTTTGGGCCTTGCACATGGCGTGGATAATATGTCTTCCGCTTCTGTCGTATTGTGTTATAGGGGCTAGCCCGCGCATCTTGGATTAAATAGGGGTGGAAGAGCGTTTACTACGAAGCCGGGGGTGGGGACTAGTCGGTGAAAGGAAAAGGACGCAAAGTAACCGATCTGCGCTCCTAATAAGTATCTCCTCCACTTCAGCCGCATTCTACCGTGGCATAGAGGAGGGGCGTGTTGGACGAGTTTCACGAACCGAGCTACAGTTGCTCCAGTGCCAGTGGCATTGAACCGTAATGCAACCGCTGCCGCAACTGCGCCCGCGCTTTTCCACCAGCGACACATGGCAGCCGGGCGGGAGTTGCGGGCGAAGGAGTAGGTTGCGAGTTGAGCTAAACCTCTAGCCGCCTTCGTGTCGCGCAATTTCAAGCCGCAAAGAGGCGCGACATCATCGCTGTGTCTGCCTGTCTACTATGCCCGGGAATGGAAAGATGAGCGTGCCTGATCCCGAACCGTGATTTTAAATCACTCATCCTTAAAAGCACAGAGAGGTTCGCGCTTGATTAAGTATGGTTACTGCCACTGAAAACGAAAGAGGAAATTATGAGGTGATTTGCTTCACGACGATTGTTGCAGTCATTTATTCTCCGGCACTCATTTCTTCTGTGCTTGTCTCACGGCTGTTGGATGAAGCTCGCTGACTGTTCAGTGAGCAACTACTTCCTGTTCTTGATTGGCGCCCAGTTTGATCTCTTCCCCTTCATGCGTCCTTTGTTCTTCTTCCTAGAATTTGTTGGTCTTGAAATCACTATACGATAGCCTCCTCCACTATACGTAGCTCTCTTCCGAGCTTCCAATCGTATTTCTTCCACCACGACAATTTTTTCCTGATGCCTGGTCTTTTGTTTGAGAGGGGCTTCTCCGTACCAAAAGCAAAAGCAGGATAATTACGTCAGACATGAAGCATGAGGTGCTAGCTCAGCGGTTGATGAGGTGGGGAGAAATCACCCACCCCCATTTGCGGGAATTTCAGGTGCTGAGAGATGGAAAGCTTTATTGGCTCTCTCCATGTTCGATTTCTGCGTATAGGCTTTGTTTTCGAGAATAAAAACAACGTAGGCTTTTATGGGCTTTGCAACACTCAAACGTCACTGTGACCATGAATGGATAACGAATGCATGGCTCATTCAAAGAAAAGGGTTGAGCAACGTTGTGAGCTTCATCCTCTTTAATCTGGTAGGGGCGTGAAAGTACTAAACACTCCCAAACAGCGAGCAGTCATTGTGATATTACTCTTCATTACTCCATGGCTGAGAAGTCAAACCAATGACCTTTGAGTGCTTTTAACAGTTTCCTGGTGGGGATTTATTCCAAAATGAGATGATACGATCAAGTGAATGTGCTCAAAATTAAGGAACAATTAAATATTTAGGTGTGAAGGCGTTTTACTATGAGGTGCAAGGAAGCCTGGACGGTATCAATGAAACTGCGCACGATACTGGAACGGTGCAAAGGAAGCTGAATTCTGATGTATTATTTTTGTAAACGTTATTCTATATCATCTGCTTTTTCAGTATCTGTATCAAACAGCCAGGCGCATCTGCAGTGCAGACCAAGCAACACAAGTGACGACGGCCTCTACAGAAAACTGGTACTTGATAGTTTGTAGTGATAAGTGATAGTCGGGAGAACCATAGCTTTAATTAGTGAAAAGTGATGGAATGCCAAGGCAATCGGCTAAGCATTTCTTTGCAGGAATTTATAACATTTTGTGAAGGCAGTCGTCACTTCTGTTGTTTGGTCTGCCCTGCAGACGCACCTGGCCGTCGGATACAAAAAGCACAGTTTGTAATCCCTACTCAACTGAGTTGTAAATGCATATTTAGCAACGCAGTGAAGCATCAGGTATTCATTAGCATCAAAAGAACATAGATGACATCTGTTTTTCCCACGGCCGTCGACGCGTGTGCCACTTATTCTGCAAAAGAGCGGTACCACGCGTGGCGACAACCTTGAAAAGATCGATATCGCGTGTGCTTCTTGGTGCCACTGACCTTCTGATGCCGCAACCGTGTGCCTAGTCCGTACTTACAACTTGCTTGGATATGGGAAACAAAATTAATTCATTCATTGTCACGGGCGAATATAACACTTTTCTTTGAAGATTTTGTCAGCACTCCCTCGAAGCGACGTCGTTGTGCGAGTGGACGAGTAAGTCTTGCTGTCTTGAGCGAGTTATTTTTTGTTTATCATAGACCTCAATGCCAAATGGCGATTTTATTTCAGTGAAAAAATTGTCAAGTGCCGAAATTATTAGATATGGGGGAACAATCCGATATTTGTAAGACCCGGTCAACCAGAGAGGTGTGTGGCGTCGTGACAAAACGCGACGCAGCATTTAAGTTGCGAAACCTGTCAGCGAAAGATCCGCAACTCAATCGTATACATAAACGGCACTATTGCACTATTACAACCCCAGTCGTGGGCCGAGAGATGGGTCAAAAAATAATTTTCGCTGAAACTTTTGCTATGGAGGGTTATCGAGGGTCCTGATCACGAATATGGCATCCACTTTTTGGCGCTGGCGCCAAATTGGCCCATTTGGCGCCAGCTGGCGCCACAACTGATTATCACCAAATTCGCTATAAACTTCGGTATAGGGATTATTTGGGGCCCTGATCACGAATATGACACTCTTTTTTGCCATTCGTAGTGTTTGACGCATATTTTCTGCTTTTCTAAGCTATCCGGAGTGGCGTAAACCACGCATCCGTGTGGCAAAAGTTAGAGTGTATTAGACCACAGAGGAGTGGCCTACTCACTTTAGACCCCTCCACTATTCAAAGGCTCAGTCCTGATTGCGATCTAATTATCTAATTAGTGCGAGGGCGCAGACGAGCAGGAAATAGGCGCCGAATAGCGCTAACAACAAAACGAATGTCATATTCGTAATCAGGACCCCAAATAACCCCTATACAGAAGTTTACAGCGAATTTAGTGGGAATCAGTCGTGGCGCCAATGGCGCCAGCGCCAAAAATGAATATCATATTCGTGATCAGGACCCTCGATAACCCCCATAGCGAAGTTTCAGCGAAAATTATTTTTTGACCCATCTCACCCCCCTGGGGTTGTAATAGTGCAATAGTGCCACTGATTCTCCAAATCCTCGAATCCGCTAAAACTTTCCAAAGATCTCAACGGTGCCGCACCCAGGCTTGATTCGAAAAGTCGGGTAGGATCATCAGAAACCCTTTTTGTTATGCTTCCACCACGAGGGTTGTAGATGAAAATGCTTTCGACCAACGTTTCGACATTCACATCTTTTCAAAAGCCTGAGGTTCCACCACTAGAGTGTAGGGCTAATTTCAATTAGTACATCTAGCTAATGTAGTTGGAGTTTACCCCTATTCATGTTTTACTAAACTTCCCTAGTTCTTGTTCAGTTTCTTTACTTCAGAAGCGACTTCGACGAACACTCAAATGGTGCGGTATTCCATGGATACGTGACGACTTCGATAGCTAATCGAACCAACCTTGTCGTTTTGCTACAGTCCGTGCCGACTGTCATAATTGTTTTCCTGGCTTCCAGAGGTAAGTCATCAAATCTGCTTTCTCGCTTCGTATCGATTGTAAGTACAGATCAGAAATATCCATACATGAGTTAGCTTTTGTGCGCTGTTTCGTATGTGGTGCCTTCGTGAAGCGATGTGTCATTAGGGAAAAAAGTACATTTAATGGTGACTCTTCTCCTCAATGGGCTCCATAATGGGCTCTAAAAAGGACATCACTGATGAGATTGGTGTAGTTATATAGTTAGTGCACTAAAGATTAATGTAGAGAT